GCTCCTTTCTTGGTATGCTGCTGACACAGATCTTCCTCTTACTCATTCAGTGCACCTGCTCATATAAACTAGGCTGCGTAGGGTTTGCTCAAGCTGAGCTTGCGTATGGTAACAGAAGCAACACCCAAAAGCATATTCATGGGCTGAGGGGAGTCATCGGTATGCAAAGTGAAGCCTGACTTCAGCAGCTCCACAGGTGACCCACAGAAATCAGTGACTAAGTGAAGATGTGCCTGTAGTTAAAGGTCAAATCAACTGATATAGGAAATTGCAGGGATATTTTAGAGAGTTAGTGGTCGAACAGGAGGCTTTCCTATTCAGTCTGCCCATGTATCATTATTATTGGCTTATATACTCCGTATGAACCTACCTATTTATCTCTGTGTGCTAAAGGCACTGCACTCAGATTCAATATCACAGAAGACAAACTGACTTGCAATGTGAATTACCACTTTTTGTTCTACTCGAGCCTCCAGGACAAGCTGCCTTGTCTTCACTCCTGCTTTAATCCCAGTTTACTAACTTGCCTGCACGTAGTTTCTTTTTCCTGTTCTTAAACTCATCTCTGTGTAACCAGAAGGAATTAAAGATGGGTATGAAGGCCTCTGTGGTTAGGTTTCAGGAAGCTGCAGCGTGCTGAGTCGGAACTGGTTAGAGGGAGCCGTGTAGGAAGCTGGCAAATGGATGGACAGCCCTGAGGATGTCCAGTGAGTCTGTGCATGCTTCCAGCCTGTTGTTGTTGTAATGAAAAACATAGTCACACAAAGTGTTTGTATGATGGCTTGTTACGCCACGCTGCATGCCTGGAGAAGGGAGTTACTTGGTCAGAAAGACAGGTATGGATGAATTTTTGTCTAACTTGCGAAACACAGATGCGATCCTTGGCAGGGTGTTCTTCCTCCCAGCTTTCTGTGTGGCATACCTCCCAGAATGCACCGCCTGGCACATTACTAATACCATTCTGTGTTCTTGGCTGTTCCCCATGGCTTAGGGGCTCTAGCACAGTCCCAGATCTTCCCCAGAGCGCTAATGCAAGCAGGGCTTAAGAGGCTTGGGCAAGGCCAATGCGATTCAAGAGAAAGCTGAAGTGCTCCCCAGGCCTGACAAAATAACTGTGGTGAGGTTCAAAGTTACATTGCAGGGGAGGCAGGGTTCTGTGGAGCCTGGGGGGGGCTAATCAATGTACATTCATCATTAATTTATGCATGTAAGGGGGTTTTGGAGTGGAGTTGTCATGCTGGTTTTGATAATGCTAACTCCATCCACCCTGCCAGCTGCTGCGATGTCGTGGTAGTTTGTGTTGCTGCATGCAGAATTATGGTGCTTTTGTGGGAATATTATGTTCCCTGAATAGAGCCCCACAGAGCAATTTGCTTCATCCTTACAAACCCATGCAAATAACTGGCAGTGCCTTACAAATACAAAACAATTGAGAAAATAAATGTATTATACTGTACATCTGTGACAAAACAATGCTTTCGTGTACAAAGAGAGAAATGTGTTTGTTTAACTTACAGTCTCCCATTTGGAAATAAATACATTCATTTAAATCAAAATGGGACCTTCTTCACTATTACAGTATTTTGCATGCCAGATGTAAGAAATATGCTGCTTGAAGAGCAGACTAAAGACTTGGAGTGGTTGATAGTACCCAAAGCACGCATGTGCTGGCTTCTTCTAGACGCTATTTCTCTTCCTGCAGGGTTCCTCTGCACTGGAGTGGGAATCTTCTGGCTTTGCATGTGAGGGATGGACATATAAGAGGTTTGGGAGTGTGCTTCACCCTTGTGTGGCAGCCTGATGTGCTGTGCACACAGGAGAGCCTGTGTCTCACCTGGTGGCGCTCAGAAGAGGGTGGAATCAGTTGCCAAGCATCACAGCTTGGCATTGCTATGGCCATAAGGCAGATTCTCTGCAAGAGTTGAAGCAGCCCAAAAGATGCTTGATCTTTCCAGGCTTTGTGATAAGCATTAGTTGCATTTACATGCAGCAGTAGAAGTGTTAGCTGGGGGAGGCATAATCAATACAATACAGGTTGAACGTTCCAATATTTGTTTTTAGATGTGCCCCATCTTGTAATTTTCATCTTTTTAAATGGCTGAGCTCTTGTAATGGAAGTTTGCTGCAGTTCAGTTTACACAGAAGCTTAACATCAGCAGCCAAGTTTGTTCTGGGAGTTAACATTTGCATTTTTGAAAGCAGCAGCATAATCCACGGCAAAACCGGAGGAGAATGGCCTTCAATACAGCACATTACAGCTGCCTGCTGATAGGTGTGAACGTCCTCAACAAGGTGCTGAAATTTGATGTGGGTAGTTTTCCAAGGCTCTGCAGACTTAATTGGACAAAACTGAAGATCATTGCTACCGGTAGTAGGAGTTGCAAACAGGAATTCTACTCTGACAAGAGCATTAGAAGGAAAAATAGCAAGAAAAAAACAGCAGCTACATCTGTGCTTTTCTAACCTGACTTTTTAATAATAATCATCATGTTCAGACCAATGGAAATAACTGCTCATATTATAGATAAGAAGGAAAGAGTGGAGTTTTGGCCTGTGCAGGCTGACACACACTGTCATGTAGTGGTATTTTTCATGCGTATCGTCAGGTCTGTGCATGTGATAGTATTTGTGTGTTAGCAGCTGGAGGGCCACAAATGCTGAGAATCACAATTCAGCAAGTCTAGCATTAATAAATACTCTTCAGTTCAGCTTGAAAGCATCATGCTCTGCATCTGAAGTGTTCTATCCATCTTGTTGTTATATCCAGCCAGGCAGAGGACTGGTTATGTGATACCCCCAGGAAACGTGTGACGTTTCTGAAAGCCAGCACCTCTGTATTGACTGATTGACCAGCAGGGCGATGCAGCAAACGTAGTTTGGCCTAGCTCAGTTTTTCCTCTGGATTGATTAATCAAATACTTGAAATAATTGCTGTAGTTGTGATTAATGTCAACTGCATAACTAATTACCCAGGTGGTTAAAATGACTCTTTCTACTAAAAATTCCCCAGCTGTCAATGAGTTAATTATTTACTTTGCTCACCCCTCTCACCTCGTTGTGCTTGTAAATGCATGGAAATATTGATCTTGGAACCAAGTTTGGTGTTACCCATGTTGCATCAGTTTCATTAGGGGTTTCATTGTAGCCCTATGTGCTCCTTTGACCAAGCACGTGCTCTTTCTGCTTTGCTTTTGTGTAAATTGGGAGCATGGGGCTGAGAGGGACCATTGGGATATAACTGACGTGCAGGGTTTGTAGGACTTCGCTGCATTAGCACCGTTACTACTCAGCCTAAACCACTGCTGGCTCCTTGCAGCAGTGCCTTCTTGACCACATCTCTTGGTAGCAGAATCTACCACCCAGTGGCTGTTACTGTTAAAACAATCATCTGTTTCCTCAGTGAGCTGTTTCCTTCCATCAGCTTCAAGTCACATCTTATTTTGACATGTTCTCGGTCTGTGAGTACATTTCCCCCACATGCACATGTACAAACCATGCTTTAATTACATCCCTGGTTGCTCTAACAGCTTTCTCCACCGTGACAACACAGTGTCAGAAGGCTGATGCAGAGGAGACATCACAGTGTTCCCTCTGTGTTTGGCGTGGCTTGACATAGAACACTGGTCTGTGTCTTACTGTATCCCTTTCATAGAATCATTACCTTCCCTAGCACCAAGGTCAGGCTGACAGGGCTGTAGTTCCTCGGCTCCTCCTTCTGGCCCTTCTTATGGATGAGCATCACATTTACTCACTTGCATTCACCTGGGACCTCCCTGGTGAGCCAGGACTGCTGATAAATGGTGGAAAGTAGCTCCATGAGCACTTCTGCCAGCTCCGTCAGCACCCTTGTGTGGATCCCATCTGGCCTCATAGACCTGTGTGTATATAAGGGGAGTAGTAGGTTGCTGACCATTTCCCCGTGGATTCTGGGGGCTTCATTCTGTTTCCTGTCCTTGTCTGCCAGCTCAGGGGGCTGGGTACCTGCAGAACACCCGGGTTTACTATTAAAGACTGAAACAAAGAAAGCATTAAGTACATCAACCTTCTCTTCATCCTTTGTCACTGTGTTTCCCCCTGCATTCAATAAGGCTGGCGATTCTCTTTAGCCCTCCTTTTGTTGCTAACATATTTATAGAAACATTATCTATTGTCTTTTATGGCAGTAGCCAGATTCAGTTCTAGCAGGGCTTTGACCCTTCTCACTTTCTCCCTGCATAACCTCCTCCTTGTAGTCTTCCTGAGTTGCTTGCCCCTTCTTCCAAAGATCAGCAGCTCTTTCTTTCCCAAGTTCCAGCCACAGCTCTCTGTTCACCCAGGCTTGTCTTCCTCACCACTTCATCTTTTGGTATATGGGGGCAGCCTGCTCCTACACCTTTAGGATGTTTTTAGCAGGGGATGATTAGACCTGCAGCCTTGGAATGGGCATGGCTGGTGCTACTGAAGCAAGAAGCTATTTGTCATGGGACTCAGTGGCTTCTGGTACTCAGTTCCATGACTCTGTAAGTGCTGAGTGCCAGGCGGGAGCTAGCAAAGTCTGCAGTGCCTGTGAACATGACTGGTGCCAGGTTGGATGTGCAAGACCTGTTGCAGTGGCTGTGCTCTAATGACCCAGTTCTGATGTGGTCGATGCCATCATGGGAGCTTGGCTGCAGCTCAGTCACTTTAAAAGTTGATATGTTTTATTGTAGTTTCTGAACGTGGCTGTATTTTCTGGCAGCTGGATAAAATAGCTTTGAGAAAGAATAGCAGCTTATAAGTGAACATTTTTGATGTCAACATTCACTCCAGGCTACTAACAGCTAATCGGTTTAAATTCCTACTTGGCAAGTGAAATTCCTGTCTTGCTGGCCTTTCTTTTTAGCCCAATTCTCGTAACTGCTACTTGTCTTTCACTTCCTTTCCTTCTAATGTGCCTGGTGCAAGAGATGTGTGGTTGCTGAGGTGTAGGATCTGGTGTGGTTTTGAAGGTACCCATGCTTGAGCCTCTCTCCTTTTTATAGGATCTGTCTTATAGGAGTGGAGGAGGGAAAAGAATGTAAAAGCTGGTGAAGCTTTAGCCCCTGCCTTCAGCACAGTTCAGCTGATGAAAGCCAGCAGTCATTGCTCTCAGCAAGGGACCCGATTCCAACCGTCATGCTTGGACTGGGACAGGTGGGTAGTGAAAATCCATGGGGGAGCCATTACGGGCCATTCCAAGTGAATGAAAAAGGAAAGAAGCAAAGCTGCTTGTGAATAGGGAGAATCAGGAGAGCAAGAGGTAGACGGGCTGATGAAATAAGGCTGTCTTTAACTGTGAATAAGTAACAGCATCACAGGAGGCATTCAGGGCAGCAATTCTGGGGGGATAAAATGAAGGTTAAAGAATTACATTCAGGATTAGGAGAATCGGAACCCCTAAGGTGTACTCAGTGAATGCTACAGTTAAAGGGAAAGGCAAAACCGGGTGTGTCTGGAGTAATGTCTAGTAATTAGATGTATGATGCATATGTGTATGACACACTATATCATCTTTTAACACCTGTGCATATGCTATCTATTACATGTACATATATCATGTCCATTATACGCATTTATTAGCAGATTAGGTGTTACAATATATGCAGACTAATTCCTGGGATTTATGGAGGTGTTAGAAGTTGCTGTGCCAAGAAAAGGGTTTCCTCTGGCAGCTCTTTACTCAGGCTTTTCTGTTCCTCTGAGCAACTCGCTGTGAATGCAGCCTTTGCTGAGACTGTAGGTTTGACTGGAGCTCCTCCTGCCTTCCCTTGAACGTTCAGGATGGTGCAGACTGTTTGAGCACGCAATGCAGATGCTGGTGAATGAATGAAGTGGAAAAGCAAGAACGAGGGAGCTTGTCTTTTTCATCCTTTTCAGAAAGCAGAGGAAGGCATTAGCAGCCTCCAGAGGGAGTTTCTCTTCTCAGCTGGTCCCTAGGCATGGGGAGCTGATGCCTCAGGGAATCTCTTGACGTATGAGCCTATTTTATTCAGTTCTGTCATGATCCTTCAGAGGGTATTTGTTTCCTTTTTGGTTTTAAAAGATTGGGTTCACTGTATGCTAATTTTGTGTGAGGGCATCAAACCTTGCAGAGGAATCAATGCACCAGAACAAACTCACTTGCAGCTCTGCTAGGAGCCTGTACAGCACTCTGCATACCAGCCCTGAGCTCTGAAGTGAACTTCCCCATCAGGTCTGAGACTGATCAGCTCTAACCACACAGCCGCATGTTTGGTGTGAGGACCAGAGAACACAGGCATTCCTTCCCACTTCTAGATCCCTATCAGGTCTGCTTTGTAAGGGCTGACTGAGTTGTTTTGTGAATCTCAGCAATAAAAACATGTCCACATTCACCCGAATAATGGAAAGAAAAGGTGAGAGCACGAAATGATTATGCGGGTGAAAGAAAGGAAGACTAGTGAAGTCTGAGAGATGTGGGCTGGTGAGCAATGGGCCTTGTGGAGCAGAACGAAATGCATTATTATTTTTAATGGAAATTCAGAAAAGGCTTTGTAGACGTGCTGGGCAGAGGATGAGTAGAGAAACTGCTAATTCTATTTCATAAAGATGGTGGGAGGGAGACTGCCTTTGTTCCACAGCTCAGGGAAACGGATGTGGCAGCTGGAAAGGACTGTCTGGCAAGGGATGGGAGGCATCTCGCGTGAGGATTGCACCTCACACCTGCCAGTTTTTCTTCCCACTTGTGCCACAGAAGTCCATGGTGCTGGTGGGAAGCTCTGAGCTCCCTGCGGAGGGAAGGAGATGGCTCAGGAATTTCAGTGAGGTGCCAATGCCCCGCTGGCTTCAGCCTCAGACCTGGTCACACTGCCTGTCTTCTCTGGCTTACTTGGACTCTAAGCAGTCTTTCTGTCCCAGGCCGTGCTCCATCTCACATCCTGCCAGTATGCTTGAGGCTTTCTGCTCTCACCAAACTTCGTGCATGTGGGATTGGATATAAAAATAAAAGGGTCTCTGGAAACCAAGAGCTGAACTGTTAATGACATTTGCTCTGGGAGCATTAAGGCAGGAATTGCTGCATAGCAGTTTTGCCATGAGACCCAAATCTGTTTGGAGGTGTTCTATATAAGTAGGTTAACTGTTTCTTCCAAATTACAGCTAGCTAAAGCTATGCTTAGCTTCGTGCTCATGAGCTACAGGGAGGGATCTCTGTGTTGGTTCTGATGCCATCTCCAGGGAGCAGCAGCCTTGAGACTCTCACAGATGCTGAGGTCCTCTCCTCCTTTCTTCTGGGTTGGGTACCTAAAGCTCAGTTTGAAAAAGGACAGTGATCTGGCTAAGGGTATGTGATGGTGGTGTCATACCCATTGTGTTCAGTGCTCCTTACAGAAATGGTCCCTATCTCCTATTCCAGAGGCTGCTAGAGAGTATGACACAGATTTTAAAAGAATATATAATTAAAAAACTCAATCAGTCTGTGTCCATGGGGAAAGCATTCCCAAGAAAAGCATTTGCTGAGAAAGAGCATGTTCTCTGCTTCAGGCAGAGTCAGAAGTAATTAAACATGCTGGTGAAGCTCTGGGAGAGGGCACTCTTTGGGTAAGAGGCTGATCTCTTGGGTAAGAATCTCAAACCTGAGAATAAATGGTTCCAAGAGAGGTGGTTGGTGACATTCTGCTATGGCGATGAAGGCACTGGAGGTGGTTTTACCCTTTTACTGCCTGAAGGCAGGGACAAGTGGCACTGGTGCTAACTCACTCTTGAATTTGCAGGCAAAAAAGCTTGACTGTGGGATCCTCAAGGCAGTGAGTTATTGAGATGACCAGCAAAGAGTGAGTTAAGGAATCAGAGATGTATCAGACATCATCTGGATGAAGGTAGAAGCTTAGAAGGAGCACAGCTGGACTGAGCCTGCAGTTCTGTGTGTCAGATCTGAGGTAAAATGCAGCTTGTTGATATGATCCAGTTCAGTTTCAGGAGCCAATATGTGATTGTGAGAATGAAAGAGAGTGCAAATACAGGGTTGAAAGACAAATCTAATGCCAATTTAGCTTTTATGCTGCAGTTTTTCTCTGTATCACAAGGATGGGTGCATACCATTCTCCTGTTTTTTGAAGGCCTTAGTGCTGGTGGTGAGTTGTTGGGGAGTGAGATTTTAAAGTGTGAATTCCATGCACAGATTCTCCAGGGGCCTGCACAACACCTACCCAAGGCAGCTTCTGAGGCTGAGGGCTGGCTAAGCACCTAATGTAGATTGAGGTGGTGTTTATGGTCTGTGATGGCTGGTGGGTTGTTATTTCTGGAGGATTTAACCACCCTGGATGCATAGCACAAGCTTCTCTAGCATGAAGTTGTACTACACATTGTGGAGATGCTGAGGGCACCTGAACCACTGCCTAAGTTCCCTGTGCACAGCTGCTGGCCAGCCAGATGGTGCAGGAGCAGGGCAGGACCACTCTCACCTGGTGAGAAATCAGTAACAAATAATGTGTCTCAGGCTGCACTTGGTCACTTGTGCCAAGTCCTCTTCTACTGCAAGGTACCTGTGCCAGGATGGGCTGGACAGTCTGTTGGGTTACATATTGCCATTTTCCTTCTCTGTGCCTGTGTAAATACTGGGCATTCAGCCTGACCTTCACCTGGCACTTTAAGGGACAGTCTGAGCAGTGCCAGGGTCTTTGTGACTGATGCTCTGTGCCCTGGTACAAAAACCAGGAGCATTTGCTTTTCACAGCTCAAGCTGCATGTTGAGATGACAGGGCCAGGGCTCGCCTACCCTACAGCCCACAGACATGAAGCGTTTGCTTTGTAATGGCCAGTGCCCAAGGCCTGATTCCTATGCAGGGTCTGTAGAGAGGGGGAAGCAAGAACAAAAAGAGAAAGAGGGGTTAGGATTTGCTTTCTCCGTGGCAGTTCATTCTTATCCTTTGTGCGTGTGCTTGCGGAATGCAGGGATGGAGGGGATGCCACTGCTTCATTCAGTGCTCCAGAGGACTAATGGACGTTGACAACTGCAGCACAACATGGAAACTATTAAAAAGGGAGGACTGATTAAAGCCTCAACCATCCCAGCATTCCCCTGGGCTCTTAACCCCGTGTTGGAGCTGAGCAGCCTCGCACTGCCTCCTCCCAGTCTGCACAATTAACATCTCGTGTCACTAATTGATTCCTGTGGTGCTCACAGGACAATTAGAATTTAAATTGCCTTTTACAAAGGTCATGAAAACATGATAAAAGACGAATCTATTAGAAAGGATCACTCAGGAGTCTCTCTTCTTTTCTGCAGCACTGGCTCTTGGTTATCATGCAGACACAAGTGAGGGGAGCTAGGAGAGCAGTTCATGCCTTGGGTTCATTTCTTGATTGTAGTTCATGGCAGAGGCTCAGCTCCGTGTGACTTGTGAATATTCTTGTACTGAAGATGGCATTTAATTTTTGTATGCCTCTTTCAGAAGGGTTTTGTGTCTCTGTGTGCTATCCCCTCTCTGTCTTTCCTGATAAATGTTGAAATAGCTGGCTTTGCATGAATTCACTGTGGGGAGAAGGGCAGGGCTGTTTGTAATGGAGGGTGAAAGATTTGCCTTCACAGGGCAAAGCTGTCATAGTACCAGCCTGTCTTCATTCCCAAAGGGTGGAGTAATGAATGAAAACCTGACACAACTCCCTGGAAACCAAAGGCTGTGAAGGAAGAGGCAGCTGGAGCTCTGTCTGCATAAGGATGCATATAAGGATCTGAGTACATGGTTCAATCACTCTAGCTATCTGTAATGTAGTCCTCAATAAAGAGGCCCTAGAAGAGAATGCATGAGCACAAACATGTGAAAGCATTGCTTCTAAGCCCACCCTTGCAGTTTTCCCATCTGGAGCTGATACCTCTAGGAATGGCATTCAGCCTGGAGAAGAGAAGGCTGTGTGGAGACCTCATAGCAGCCTTCCAGTATCTGAAGGGGGGCTATAGGAATGCTGGGGATGGACTATTCATTAGGGCCTGTAGTGACAGGACAAGGGGTAACGGGTTCAAACTTAAACAGGGGAAGCTTAGATTGGATATAAGAAAGAAATTCTTCACTGTAAGGGTGGTGAGGCACTGGAATGGGTTGCCCAGGGAAGTTGTGAATGCTCCATCCCTGGCGGTGTTCAAGGCCAGGCTGGACAAAGCCTTGGGTGGCATGGCTTAGTGGGAGGTGTCCCTGCTC